CAGTGCCAACAATAGAAAATAGGAATGCTTTAAAAATGCATAACAACATAGCAATTTAAGGTCTTATATTTAAAGGATTAATATTTTTTAGCTTAATCTATATCCAAAGCTGTCAATTTTGCAAATTTTTAATTTGTGTTTGAGTTCGAAAATTGAACACTTCTTTTAAAGTAATCAGTTATTACTAAACAGCATATACACTTTATTAGAATGATATTTCTATTTATATTGTTTAAGAATGAATATTTATAGGTTCTTAAGCCCCTCTTATTTTTGCCCATGTAGGGAAAGCGAGGGCGAGAGGGGGGCCAATAAGCATGATGGAAACAAATATGTGTGCCCTCTCCGAATTCGACCACCCACCCAGTCGGATTTAGCTTGAATGTCGTCTTTGCATAACAAATGTAAGCAACATGTTTCAATAATGAGCCCGCCCCCTTGTATCGTAATCCCCCCTGGCAGCCACTGATGAGCTGCCATGTTGCAGGATTGAGACATACATTGCACCCAGCCGTGTTGCCCCCTTTTTGCCACACCCCTGCCCACCGAATTTTCCAACCCTCGGGCATCCCTTTTGCAATGCTTGGACAGCGTTTGAGTTTCGGATCTGAACTGGGCACCAAATTAATCGTTTCCACTGTGCGGTTAGAGTGTCGCCTCACCCATTGTCCCAAAACCCCCCCTGAAACCCACCGCCCCTGCGCTCCCCTTTCATACCCCCTTGGAACGTCGAGTGTATGCGCCTCATTTGTTATGGCCATTTGCATAAATAAGTCACTGGCACTGCCAGTTGGGACCAGTTTTGAATGGACAGGGGCGCGGAAGGTGGTTACAAGGGGGATGGGTGGGGGGTTATAGCACTGTGGTTTCGAGAGGGGGATAAAGTCCGTCAGTTGACGGAGATTGTGTGAATAACTTGATGAACGCTTCGCCGGAGGAGTGAATTCTGTTGTTCGCTGATTTGTTGGCCTGTTTGCATTTATTTATCCTCCCTTTTTTATGGAACTTGTTAAAGGTTGACAAATTTCGGAGGTTATTGTGCTCTTAGGGGATTAAGACATGTATGATTTAAGTGGTTCGGGAAATAGAGGGTGTCAAACCGCAGAGAAAGAACGAGTGTTCGAAAATGGCACTTAAATTTTAACTCAAATAGTGTAATACAGAAACTTTTGACTTTTATGGATTGTACTTAAGGTTATGAACAAATTAGTTCGCAACTTTTAAATTCTCTTTACATCTGGTACTTAAGATTAAAAAGATTATAAAGTTATTACTGAAACTTATTTCTCTCTCGTTACCTTTCTTGCAGTTATAGACTTTTAAAACTAAAGTCTTGTAACTAATAATATAGGTATACTTATTATCCGAGGGAGACAAAAGGAACATTTAAGACCAAACAAAAACAAACAGAAAGCGAAATGGTCAAAACACAGAAGGTCCTTCGTTCTTCCATTTCCCTCTCTTGCTGTCTCTTTCCCTTGGAGCCTTTATCACTTTCTCCTTCACTTTCTCCCTCCTCTCAGTTTCAGGGATGCGTGACAATATGCCGTTTAATTATACGTCACGACCCTTCTCCTTTCGCCCCTCATCTTTTGTTTCTGTTGCCGTTGTTGCGATATCGCACACACATTTTAAAAGTCAATTATCCGCACATATCGTTGAGGGGGCGTAAAGGGACGATTGAGGGGTGTGGCACCCCATCGTCCTTGCCACGCGTCAAATTTGGCGCGTTTACATTTTTTCCCCCATCGGCTCCCCTTTATGCTTTTTTTTTGCACGTTAAAGAAAAATGTTTCCTTTAAATAGGGAATTTGTTATTTAATTATGTTTGCTTAGGATTTTAGTTAATAAAGGTTGTTACCAAAGTTACCAATTTTTAATCGATTAAATGAAATATCAATTTATGTTTTTTTGCAAATAATTTAGTTTTTGGGATCTTTTGAAGTGATCTGATTTTTTTGAAAACATTTTTTAAAATCCTTACGAGTATTCCAAAGGCCTTTATAAGTTGGTTCCTTAGTCGGACTTTTTAATCTGCTCCTAATAATCGAGAGTTTCCTAAATCTATAGATGGTTTTTTTTCAAGTGCTAAAACTTTCTCATTGAAAGAAAGCGTGGAGAAAAAGTTTATTACTTTCTGGAGACGACTCCTTGGCATGCGAAACTGTTGGAGAAAAAAAAGAAGAGCCAAAGCGGCGAAGGATGTCCTGGCAAATTGAATTACATGAGACATGAGACGGGTAACGAAGAAAAAGAGCCATAAGACTTCGATACTAAACCGATAATAACATAATCAGCCCACACCCCCTTCCCCGACTTGCCGCCGCCCATGACCAACTATAAAGTGAGCTTTAGTTACCGTTAACAAGCCAAGTGGCTTGCCTCAGGTTCTCCCCCCAATTTCCCGGGCTCTTCTCCTCCTTACGCCTCATCTCACTCGATTGATAGTGGGGAAAAGTTTGCGAGCCGAGCTGGCCAGCCGAGTTTTCTCTTGTCTTTTGTCTGTCAAAAGAGGCAACACTGTGCTGCAAGGAAAATTGAGGAAACTTTCTGCATAATGAGAAATTTAAGATTTGCTTGATAATTAAGGTTTTTTAAAATGGTTACAGGATATCCAGGAGCTTGTAGATTGGGCAACAAGTTTTTGTTGCTTTGAGCCGAAGAACGGGTTTATTCATAATTAAAAAGAACATAAAACCGTGATTGTGTGATCAAAACGCAGCTATAAAACAAAAATTGTATCTAAATTTCAGTAGTCCTTAAACACTGTTTTGTTAAGAAAAACTTATGTATCCTGGAATTGTTTTTTCCACCATACTACTAACAAATTAAAAGACACGATTTAAGCTCAAGACATTTGTTTTTGAAAGGAAAATGGCCTGAAATGTAATCTACAAAACGACTACAGTCTTTTTCCAATTACCATAGACATGTAGGTCAGTGTAATTGTTCAATACTTTCCGTGAAGTGGTTCGTGCATGTGGGTGGGCCGCCTTGTTGTGTTCACTGAGGCAAAAGGAGGCATTGCCATGTAATTGGCAACAATTTGCATAACAATTCAGCGACTGTTTTGCATAAGTCCTGCGACGATGCAACATAATAACCGAAGGAAGAAGAACAAGGATGGGGATGCTGCGCAGGAGGCAGAAGTACAGCACTTACGTACACATTAGAAATTCCTTCTTTTCGAGGCTGCAAGGACATCAGAGGCCTACTGGCAGAGGCAATTATGTGCTTCACATACACGACTCCTATTTCCCAACCCCATTTTCCATCCATTTCCCTCGCAGTTTCCACCAGCTCTTAAGTATCCTTTCAAGACAGCCTGCTGCCTTGTAAAAGTCGCTGCCGGAAATGCCAAGGCGAAAGCTGTAGGCAAAAAAAGAAAACCTAAAGAAATCTCAGCCTGAACTACGAAATGCAACCATTGCATCTCCACTTTCCCATTTCATTTTTTAGCACACACATACACATTTCTCTGGGAGAGTTATCAAAATTGAACATTTTTTTTATGTTATTTTTTGAGCTCCAAAAAAAATTTGCATCTTGTTGCACTGCCTCTGAAAAAGTTTATAAGATCCACTTTAATAATGTCGAGTGCTTGATTTCTGGCACGCCTCTGCTGCAGCAATCGGCCCATTTTCCTTGCCAGAAAATTTCATCATAAGAAATTAAAACTTAAACACAAAAGCCAAAGCATGAGCAAGAAAAAAGGAACATTACGATAGATGTAATATTTTTAAGATAAAATAAAAAATTATATTAACATACAGATAAATACGAAGTTTGCAATTTGTGTTTATTTCGAGTTTATACAATTTTTTTTTGAGCTGGTGCATCAAAAAAAATTTTAATTTTAGGCTTCAAGAGCAAAAGTTTTTTTTTGACTGTCAAGTATACATACCTTTAGCACTAAGGAAATATAAAATGAAATGGAATGCCGCGGATATATTCAACAGTTTCGTAGCTATTACGCTTGATTGAGTTTTTCCATTTGGTTTTAGCAAGTCAATCCAACATTTACCCCCCTTATCCCATCTTCGAGGTACTACCAGCCATGTTAAATTAATAAAAATGTAATGCCCAAGAAAAGACCCTAGGCACCAGAGTCCGGCACAAGAATTGGGCTAATAAATTTACAAAAATGAGTTCGACGCTTAATTTGCCATGAGCATTTTTCATTTTATTTCGCGCCGGGCTCGGAACATGGCTTTTAAGCCCCACCAAAATGAAATCGAGGGAAAACCCAAAGGCAAACACACACACTGACTAGCGAAAACATGGAAAACAGAAGGCGAACGAAAATGAAAATGAACAACAAGCTGAAGTGAGTGGAGGGAAATTGTGGAGGAAGGGGAAGCTACTTAACGAAAACAAGTGAGGAGAAATTTATTTCCGAGGATCTCAAGAGCACGGACTGCAGGATGCTCTGCTTTGTATGGAGAATGTTGTTTTGGGAAGTATTTAAGCAGGATTTTGCTCAAGAGATTTTGAGTTCATCATGCAAGGATTTAAATTATTAATTTTATATTCTGAAGTTCAATTAAAGATTTATAAGCACATTCTGGGGTGTCACAGAAATCTCTGACGGCTTTCGGAATCTCACTGAATCTGGAGAGATTTTGATGTGTTTCGGATAACATTTCAGGAATAAGAAAGTTTTTGGAATGACTGATTTAAAATCGTTAATTTACAATTCATTGCATTACCTTTTTTCTCCAATAACGAACTGAACCGTTTGCGGATACTCTACCTGACCACCAGAGCATTAACTTCGCAATAATACGTAAATATATGCGTACCTACGTACCTATAAACAAATATAAAAATAAATAAATATATAAAAATATGTATGCAGCTGCTGTAAATCAACAAAAATTGGCGTAGTCAATTTACATAAAGTAAAAGTTTTCCTCCCAGTTGCCATACTAAACAAATATTTTCAAGTCTTTATTCAGAACTCATTGCTTATTTTCTCTTTTCGTTTTGTTTACTTTTAGCTTGGACTTTCGACCGAGTCGTGGAATTTATGATCTGCAAATCAAGAACACGTCTTATAATCGGGATAATGGACGCTTTGAGTGTCGAATCAAGGCGAAGGGGACGGGAGCGGATGTCCATCAGGAGTTCTACAATTTGACGGTGCTGACAGCTCCTCATCCTCCGATGGTCACTCCCGGAAATTTGGCAGTGGCCACCGAGGAAAAGCCGCTGGAATTGACTTGCAGCAGTATTGGTGGTTCACCGGATCCAATGATAACGTAAGGGACTTCTTATTTCATTTTCTAAACAATTTTAATAAAAGAAGGACATGGTTAAGGTTCCAACATAGTTTTTGTTTTATATTAAACTTCATATGTAGATCTAAATTTCTCTAAGCAAAACCAATTCTTTTCCCAGCTGTATCATTTTTTTATAGTTCCCTTTTGGTTCTGTGGTAAAGTAAATCACTTAACGGGCGGTCGCCTTCATTAATAATCCTTCTCCGGCACATGGTTGCCATTCCTCTTTCCTTTCCCCCATTTTTTGGCACTAAATCGTGGCTATCACTTGTATATTTTTTGCAGCTGGTACCGGGAGGGCAGCACCGTGCCGCTGCAGTCGTATGCGCTGAAGGGCGGATCGAAGAACCACTATACCAACGCCACCCTGCAGATTGTTCCCCGAAGGGCCGACGATGGCGCCAAGTACAAATGCGTTGTCTGGAATCGTGCCATGCCCGAGGGTCATATGCTGGAGACCAGCGTCTCGTTGAATGTCAACTGTGAGTAGTTGGGCTTTGGGCTTGCATGGCGAAAAATATCTATATACTTGAAATATTTTTCATTTGAATACACAAAATCAATTAAAATCAAAGATATCTCATGGGATTTGAACTAACGTTGCTAGTTCACCAATGAATTTTAAAACGTTAAGGAAAGCAAAACCACTTATATTTACCAAACGCTATCGAAAGTATTGATAAAGTGTCACCAAGTGTCAAATGGACACAGGTAGCTTGTTATTTTCAATATATTTCTGGATTATGACAAGATCTGCATAATTTAATTTGAAATATGCAACTGAAATTTTTAAAGTTTTTATCTCAGTGCGAATTTCGGGTGGTGTGGTGACCATGATAAAGTAAAATTGGTGGGTCAGTCTGGGTCAAAGCGGCAAAAAATACAATTTACGGCTTGAGGCCGAGAAATTTTTTTTAATAGCATAACTTTTTTTATATGGCACAAACGAATTTGGTTATGAAGTTTGCTTTAGGACGGCTATAAAGTAAAAAGATTTATAGCAATTGCTTACTTAATACTAAAGAAAACTGGATGTTGAGAATGACAACCGCTTAAATATAAGTGAAAACTTGGATAACAAATAATCTTATCTAAAAATACATTAAAAATGTTGTCATAAAATTTAAACTCTACCAAATTTTTAGTCGATCTAATTTAATTGTGCCCTGATTTTCATTAATAATACAATTTTTTAAGCAAATATTAATAAAGTAATATATCATCCAGAAACATAGCAATCCTCTTAAACATGAGAATAACAGAACACAGAAACAAATTCGTTAGATGGCAAAAGAAGATAACTTAATTATGTTGCACTTCATTTAAAGCAAATAAATTTATTTGCCTCGAAAACTTGGTCAGAGGTAAGCCGAGTAATTTCCAAGGCAAAACCGACAAACTTGTTTTCCAATTCTCATCCTTCATTTTTGCCATTTCTTTTGTAATTAAAGTTTGGCAACTGCGTTATGGGAACATGTGTTGTTGTCGCATGATCAACGTGACCAAAAAGCCAAGCAGATGATACGACACACATAAAGTGTCTGCCACCCGAAAATACTCCCCAAAATCCCGCACACGAGCACTTGATTGTTAGTTATTGGACCACAACAACAGAAATCTGCTGCAGAATGACCGGAGCTTCAACTTGTCATATTAGTTGGCAACTTTAGCCCCCCTCTTAGTTCCAAAAACATCACAACACATTTGAGGCGGATATTAAATTTTCGGGACAACGCGACGTATGCGCAATCTACCTGTCACCGCGCGCTGCATTTAATAAAAATCACTAGCAATGACATGTTACGGAATCTGCATAAAATTTATGCAATCAAATAAAGTAACAAACTAGCAATAAAAGGCAAAAAAATACAAATATATTTTCAGTGGGTGGTTAGGAGAAGGCAAAGTGGAGTAGAGCCGAGCTTGCCACAAATATATTCATAGGAAAACATAAATTGCAGTCATTTTTATACACGCCGGATTTGTGGCCGCAAAAGCAGACAACAAGAACAACTCATATATGTTTATATATATAAATGTCTCCTATATATATGTGTGCTATGTGTGTGAGAAGCACAGTGTCGTCAGCGTAACAAATATTTATAGTCTTTTCTGTATGAAAGAAAAAAGGAAGTTAAAGTAACTAACTAGAATGTTGTTTATTTGACTAAAAGGTACTCATTAGGTGTTTTTTTTCGATTTCAAACTTTATATTTCAAAATAATTCTCTAGAAAAAGTTCGAAACTAATTTTGAAACATTATGCAATGAAAACTACTTAAATAACTTATTTAGTCCTTAGAAAATGTAAGGTAAAAATGACAAACAAATATCCTTAAGAGGACTTTAGAAGAAGGAAAAATTCATGTGGTTACTGGGTACAAAAAAGGCCAAAGAAAACCAACCAAAACGGGAGAAACCGGGCCAAAACAAACACCAAACAGAACAAGAATAAATGACAACAGCCAAGTGGTTAAATAAAGGGAAAGCGGAGAATCCCAAAAGTAGAACTCCTTTTATTGCTGTTTGCAGGCGTGGCAAATGCAATTTTTCGGCGTGTGCCAGGACGACTTGCTGCTATTTATGGGGCTCATTTAAAATCCATTAGCAGCCAGTCAGGCCCCCTTGAATGTTTGCCCAACATTTTGAACCCCCGAGAGCTAAGTCCCGGGTCAAAAGTGGGCCTCCAAGGTGCATTTATGTGGATGGAGCCTTCGGGTTTGGCAAGTTTCAGCAGCAGCAGCCACATCAACAAACTTTGGTCTGCTATTTGCGGGACGTTCGACAAGAACAATTGAATTTGCAGCGGCGTTTTGGCTTTTCAATGGCTTCTAAAACGCCTGCAGGCGAGCCATAAAGACCAAAATCCAAAATCCAAGCCAATCAAGTACAGTTTGACAGTCATTGTTGATAGAACGCCTGCGGGAGAACGGCAATTTGGGTCCCTAAATTGTAAGTTCTGCATTAACTGGCTAATTTTGATGGCCGCGCTTTAAGAGGTGAAGTTTTAGGATATTCTGAGCTAATCAATCTTTATCAATACCAATGTACCTAAAATGTGTTACTTTCAATATGAGTGGCACCAAAATAGCTTTTAGGTTTTCGCGTAACATGTTCAATAAAAAACGTTTCCTGATTTCTTCCTGATTAAAAGTTCACGAAGTAAAAAATCACCTTCCTAATTTCCTAATGTTGCTTGGACCCAAAAAGAATTTTGGTTGCTCTGCAGTTTGATAATCATTGGATGACAGCTGCGTTGGGTCATATATGAATGCGAGGAAAAGACTACGTTGTCTCATGATTGTGATTGTGATTGATAAGCATTTGATGGCACAAGAGAACGAAAGGGAGAAAGCAAAGTAAAGAAAGTAAAAAATAGAACGGAAAATGGGAAACAGAGGAAGCATCAGCTGACAAATGGCAGGGCAATTTTTTAATTGAAAATGTTTGCATGAATTCTAAAAAGCGCTGCCAATTTCATTCGATTCATATGTGTCGGACTGCCATCTCTATCTTGCCGTAACCATGCTTCTTCTGATGAACAGTTGCTAACAAAATATTAGAGATTTCCAGAAAATTATAAAAAAAATTTTAAAGTTTATTTTACATTCAAGAAACTTAGATTCGAATCATATGTTTACAGGATTATATTTCGAGTATTTTCAACTATTATAATTTACTAAATAAAGCGGTGTATATCCTGAAAATGTCAGGACAATTGAGTACAATGATCGATAACCTTTCAGAAACTGTAACTTTAAAATATGTTACTTAAAACACTAAAGCAGTAAAAATTAATATATTCCTAGAACTATTATTACGACTGCAGCTGTTTATATAGCAACATATATCTCAGTTTGCCGTTTCGCTTTGTTTATTTCACTCTCTTCGCTGTTTGTGTGTGTGCGATGCGTGTTGTGCCTGCATTTGATTGATTTATGCCAGAAGCAACGAAAACAAAATAAAAATTGCAAAAAAATAACCGAAATACACGAAAAAATTGAGAGAGAAAAATAGCAAAAAACAAAAGACAAATAAAGCATATATATTTTTGGAAAATAAACTCCCAACGCGTCATGTTGTCAGCGAGGCGACTTCTCGTCGACCGTTGAGTGTTTTATAACGTGCGAAAATTCCCAAATGAAATTATTGAAAATGTCTCTGGGCCCGCGCTTTTTCTGTTTTTCCTAGATGGATTCAGAAAAATATGGCTTCAAAGAGTGAGGCGGTGCGGCTGGGTGGCACTCGAGTGGGTGGCAAGGCCATCAAATTGCGCATACGCAACGTGGCCACGCATAGACAAAACACGAGGGCGCCGCCATCGCCTTGTCAACTTGGCACAGTTTGCTGCACACGTGAGAGGCACGTTCCATCTTGCAGTCCCCTCACCATCACCACTCCAGCGGGGCTTTGCAAATGCAATCTCCCACCCAAAACCCCCAACCCTCCCCTTCGAATAACACACAGGTGTGTCGGCCTGCACGTGACTTTTGTTCAGTTGCATGCCCCGCACGTAATAAACCTTTGCCATGCCTCTGCCACCCAAATAAATCCCCACACTTTTCATACCCGGAATTTTAGGAGAACTACGCGTAGAAGGGTACCTATAAGTCATCTGAATATAAGAGAGAATTTTAACAAAATACTTATTTGTAATTTGAAATTGGCAAAATATTTTAACTAGAGATGATATAAAATCCGTATGTAAATTCTTGTTAAATGATAATTCTGTTAATAAAAAGATATAAAATGAAAGATGATTACAAATCAGAGCTTCTTTTCCTATAAAAAAAGGGGCATCCCGTAGTCTGCCAAAACCTTTGCAACTTTCTTTTCTTTTCGCTTTTTTCGGAGTCCTTGGCCAAAAAGTCGCCGGCGACGAAGACAAACAGCACTCATGTGTCGCGGGCCGCTGAAGTGGAAAGCAAACCCGTTGAAAAGACATTTCAATTTGAATAAAAAGATGCTTCTTCGTGTGTGTGTGTGTGGTGCAATAGTGCTCAGGTGTGCAGCATGCAAATGTCGAATGACAATAATGCGCATTAGCCAGAAGATTGCCCGAGCAAACAGAACCGGAAATGGCAGTTGAAAACGCCCACAAATTGGTTTTTTATGGCCAAAAATGTTACAATAAAATTCTAGTTTTTTTAAGGTTGTCAAACAGTTGGTTGTCTTTAAAAACGTTATGAATATATCTTATTTATACATTTTTTTTGATTTTAGATTTATGTTTTTGTCCTTATAAATTTATACTTTGGTATGATATGTTTTGATATATCTTTAATTAATATAATTTAAATAATTCAAAATATTTTATAGATTTTATACAATACATATGTTTTCGGTTATGATATTTGCTTTCCTTGTCGACTAATTGTAAGCTCAGCGGAATCGTTTTTGAGACCATTAGCAGCTTTTCCCAACACCCAATTCGCACATCTATCGGTAATTGTGGTGCAGTCGCAGCAAACCACATCGCACCA